TTTCATGAAATGCGCAAGCATTACATTTTCATATTTTAACTTATTTATTTATTTTTTTTTAATTCTTTAGTTCAAATGATACAAAATTTCCTGATCTTTCCTTCCTCCATGTAAGTCTTGCATATATGCATAATAATCGAATCGCTTCAATTCAAAAGTTTTTCGTTTGTTTTGATATTTTGAATCAGTCTCAAGTTTCTTTTTCTCTTTAGCGGAATCAACTTTCATGGACAAATACTTAGATAAAAACTGATAATAATCGCGAGATTCATCCTCGAATTCTTTCTTTTTGCTATCAGCTACTTTAATATCATTTTCATACATTTTTCGTAGAGGTTCGATAAGAAGGATAGACATTTGATTTGCAAGACTTTCTCTGAAAGTCGCAATTTTTTTAGCAGCATCTTCTAAATAGCTATCTAAAACTGGTTGAAATGCTTGAGGATGCGCAGTTGCAGCTGCTCTTAAGGCTGCCATGAGTTCTTCATCTGCATCATTACTGTCCAGCATGGCTTCATGAGCCGCAGATGCTGCCTTAAGTATACGTTTTATATATTGTCTTAATGAACCTGTTTTCTTTTCATATGACGAAAGGGTAGCACGAAATAACGGACCATCCTCGGGTTCATGTTGAAACATTAAGTCATCAGATGAACGTCTGCCTCCACTTGAAATTGAGGAAGCGGTCCCTGATGTGTGTGACGACACGCCAGGGACTGGAAGATATACCGTATCTGGACTTGACGGACGAACGCTGCGTGGAAGATTGAGAGACCATGGTGTAGATGTAGAAGATGGAAGTAGTGATGATGTTCCTGTAAGAAATGACATTCCGTCGAGGGAACCTGTGCTTTTTGACGCTCGATGATGGTAACTTCGTGGGCTATCTGAATATTTATTAACATAATGACTATCAAATGATTTTAAACAAAAGAGAATAATTAAATAAATAATAATTATAAAAATATTTAACACACCAGCAACCCAAAATGTGAAGGCTGCCAATAATTGGAAAGTATTATCTTTTGCATCGTATTCGGCAAACTGAACAAGGATAAGTGAGTCGTGAAATTTAAAAAACATAATAAAAAAAGACTAAGATACCAAAACTCACACAACAATAGTTTCGCCATCCTCGATGAACCTCGTCCATGTTATGTGGAGCTGACCACATCCAGGACCATTCCATTTCTAAAGGTTTTATTCCATTCGATTCATAATTTCCAACTAACGTTACTTTTGGATGTTTATGTAACTAGTATATGTGTGTGAATGGAAAATTGAAATAAGATTAATGCAATTGATCTTTGAATGGTTTGATATAGTTTGATTGAATGTCATTATAAAAATTATGGTTTTTTAATTGGCACAACTATACTTTAACTTATAACATCAATGCCATTAATTCGTTATAATATTATCTGAACAGCGTCCAGTGGACTATTCCTTATTAAACTAAAATGTACGTACCGTACAACATTCAAAAAAATTTTTTAATTACTTACGTTGGGGTCATCGTTGAATTCAACAGTTACTATTCTTTCTAGTTCTTTTTCACTAGCAACATTGATGAATGTAAGTCCTTTAACATAAGTGTTATTTCCATCTGCTTCTCCTATGTTGAATTTAAACTTTAACTCCAAACATTTGTCTTTAGCTAATTTAAGCAGAAACTTATTTGGAGATATTGATTTGACGTTAGGGTCTTGAGTAAATTCCAGCAGATCTATAGAGTTTGGAATAGCGGCAATACCAGCCGACGTGACAGGGAACGTTATGTAGGGGTCGTAGACGGAATTTGATATCGAAATTTCCGTAATTTGAACTAAAGAATTAAAAAAAAATAAATAAATAAGTTAAAATATGAAAATGTAATGCTTGCGCATTTCATGAAA